CCATCACGGAATGTGCCTCCAAAACCTGCAGTAACTGGAAAAAAACCATAATTATTGTACTCTTCTCATGAGCGCGGCTCTCGTTTTTAGAAACAGAAACGCTACATTGAGGAAATCTTATTGGTTACCGGTCTCCGCCCATCCGACTGTCACGGAATGTGCCTCGAGCACAGTGTTGGTTATATCGATAGGAACTGCAGTGCCCTGACATTGTCCCGTAGCACTTTCTCTTCAAGTTGCTGATTCCTCATTCCACGCAGGTATGTCGTCCACGCCGTAAAGCTAAGAAAATGGTATAAAGGGCGACGTCAAACCATGGAAGACGTGCTAAAAGAGGGCGATGAGACGAATGTACTGGTCAGAGAATGGATCAAGCCGCCAGCTAATAATTTCTCCCAAGGAGAATTCAACGAGAAAAGTTATTCTATTCGGAACTACTATGGTACGTTCAGCATCTCAACAGGGGCCTTTTGCATCGATTTCGAACCAGTTCCTTTCTGGTGCGCGCCATGCACGAAACTGCTTCGGGGATCAAAATCACATTTGGATGTGTTATTGTCTCACACATCACTTTTAGAGGATCAACCATTGAGAATTTAGTGAGTAACAAACAATCGTATTGTACAGGTGGGGCAAAGAAACATCTCTTGCCACCCAAATCAATCAGGCCTTTCATCCTTCCTCAGCCAGTTAGTTGGCATCAGATTCGTAATGGAGGACAAGGACACTTTTCTATGTTAGTTGGTCCCCAAAAGTCATTGTATAGCACATTCAAAGAACTATGGGATTGTGATTCTAAATGGAAGTCGAATGCATGGCACATCAGAACAATAGATTGATCAACGCCGGTATCATTTATTTTTGACTTCAGATGTTCGCCGCGTTGTTTCCCTTAGCTCCCCTACTCGCTTTGATAATTGGTGTCATTGATCTTCGGATAGACGCCCTAAGACTACTGTGGCTCAACCGACGACCGATACCAGCGATGGCATCCGGTAAGCGCTGAACAATTGCTAAACGATTGACTAGCCAGTAACTGATCGTTTCAGGCATCGGCATATGGCTACCGATTCTTTACTTTCTACAGTATGCTGCCGTAATGACAAACGCTTTTATAAGTGAGTTCTTCTTGATGGATCGTCGGCTCTCCAACCACATTGGGCCCACGCTCACAGTGGGCGGGGACAACACATCGATACCTATCTGATCCTTCTTGAAGGGTTCCATTCGGATGCTTACAGCTGATATCGTAGCAATCAGTCGGGGGGGGGGTCACCAGGGTGGAATGAGCCTACCCACGGCGTTTCCATCACTAGTTGTTTTCTGGATCCCTAACCGATCACTATTGGTAGCAAGACAGTAGGATGCGAGCCGGTACCGATCGCTCATGACACGGCCCCTACTAACTGCGACGTTATCAACGGTATATATTTTAGTGATACTTCTTTCTGCTGGGGGTTTATTTTTAGTCGCGTTCACTTCGGATTTCTGCTCGAATTTCTTCAGTGATGTTCTCCGTTGCGATGTGAAGAATCGTTTCCTCATCGTCATAGTTTTCAGGTGAGTAACCATAAAGAACCGTTAGAAATTCACATCGCTAATTAATTTATTGGCGGAAACCACCATTTTTGTAGAAATATGGCTTTTTATTTCCTAAAGATCGGTGTTCGCAAAGGCATCATACCAGCTGTCCCGGCATCAATTCGAGTCGCTCAACGAAGGGTGAGTCTGCCTGGATAGTTACGGCCCATATCCCGAAAATGGGGAGGGCGTGGCTACGTACTCCATTTCAACAGGCGCCGGATATGTTTCTGTGAGATATTGCATTTGAAGCAACTGTTATCTTGTTTTGGGCTGTACAAGGACATAATTACAGTTGCTCTGAAAGCCGCAACTATCCGAAGGGAGAACAGCTCGTCGAAATGAAGCCAAGCACCCCCCCACTCCACCCTTCGGTATGAGATTGTACGATATGATATCGCGAAGGCCCATAAAAGCAAAAGTACCGAAACTTGCGTTATTTTTGGTTCCTGTAAGACTCTCGTAGATAATTGAAGCCCTCGCCGGGCCAATCACAGTACAACAGAGTTTGTTCCACTTCCGTTGATATCGCGACTTTGTAAAAGAAAGAATTTCTTTCCAGAAAGAGATATGTTGGCGGTGAAATTATTGTCATCGCAAAAAAGGGAGACGTGCCATATCGAAATTAAGACAAGGTAAGCAGTATTCTGGGGGGGCGGTACAGTTCTGCGCTAGACAGAAGAACGTACCAAATTGTTGAGAGCGAAGCATGAACGGGCCACCTTGCGGAAACCAGGAGCTTCTTGTAGTCAAGGTGGTTCGCTCGAATCATTTCCCTGTTCAAAGAGTATACGAGTGTTCAAACTAGCAGAGAAGAACTTAGCAAAAAATCCCTCCCCTTCTCAGAAATGAGAGCTGATTGAGATTTATCGTACTCTTCAGTGAGGCCCTTTTCTTTTATCCAGCCAATTCTTTTCATTTCAGACGACGAGCACGAAATGCAAAACTCGCTTGGGTCATGTCACTAGCGAAAGGGCATGGAGAGCTGCGAAACATTATTCCTAGAGTTGGTTGTCGAGCCGCCCGATGCAGAATTCTCAGCTCAAAACCGTCACGACTCAGTGTGGCGTATCAGCATTGCTCGCCATACTATTGTTTACAGATGGGTGCTTACTCTTTTTATCAACTAAGTCAGGACTCACTCAATACATGTCATTTCTCACGGGATTCGGTTATTGCAGTCACGGGCACGTCCTCCCCTTTTGAATCCGCCTCATAGTTACGCACCCCCCCCTCCCTATCGTCCCGCGATCCTTGTCGCATATGCCAGAGGTTTTCCTCACTTCGTATCCCAATTTTACGCAGTTTTCTTTCTCCACTTTTCCTATCCTTGAAAAATGCCGTCGGGCAGGAGAGGGGGATATAGCACTGAAAGGGAGAACCCGCGCGGAAAATTCATATCAATTCTAGACACGACATTTTCTAAAGGGCCGAAATACGATCCTCTTTTTCCCTCCAAAGCGAGTCAATAGACCCATCCGTCGAAATCGGCCAGCCTTAAGACGCTGCCCTGATTGGTATGATATAGTCGGGGGCGGCCTGGGAAAGGCTGCGAGGCCGAGTGACAAGGGATGGATGCGAGGTCAGAAGTCCTCGTGTGTTTTCTACTTCACTTTTTCTTCTAGGAAGCTCTCTACGCTTCCTAAAGGCACTTCAACCAATGCACGTTGTACGTCGGGGCGCTCGCAAAGGAAACGGTCTTGTGTCGCGTGGAGGAAGGGAGGCGGCGGGGCGGGCGGGGGGGCCGCGGCGGGCGCGGCGGCGGCGGGCGGGCGGAGCTAACAAAGGAGAAAATTTTACAGTTGGTCGAGGGTCCCGAAAATTCGTTACAATAGCAGGACTGCTCTGCGTCCACTGGGGTACAAGGCTTCTTCAAAACGGATTTCTCCCGCTGTAAAGATCCAGCTGTATTTTCTCACCGGACTCTGGACAAGCATTTGGAGGAAAGTAAGGGAAGAGAATAGGAAGGGACAAAAGGAGGGAGGAAAGGAGAAAGGTTTTTGCTGTGGCAAATATCCTGTTGCGGTTCAACTAAAGTACAGACGCTGTGCCTTGACAAGGTAATCCTATCCGCAAGCATGAAAGATATACCACTTCCGCGGTTCAAAAAAAACCTGATAAGGGTGCCACACGATCGCGACCAGAACCACGCCCTGCCCGCTCCCATGCCACGCCCAGCCTCCACTTTTGGCGAGTACCTGATGATGAGGCTCCGCTACTAGCCCAAATGGTAAGAATGAGGTCAAGCGAGCCGGTGAGGGTACAGAAAAGCAGGAAAGGGGCGTGACTTCATTACCGTCACTGCTCCCTCAGCGCCCTTATAAAATAGCCCTCAATCCGTATTACATCAGAATTGTGTATTTATTTCTTTTTTATGCATTAGACAATGTTACACTAAATACCGTACCACCATAGTCACCGGTTACAGTAATGAACATAAGTAAAAGACACGTCAGAAACAACGCACAACGCTAAGTTGAACCTGTGAACGGAAAGAATCATTTCAAAAAACAAAATAATATTATATTAAATAACAACAGAGCGACAATCAGGACAAAGAGAACATTACCAGGATTTCTCAATCAATCAATAACTTTGATCAATAACCTTTGCAGAGCAATAGACAAGGTTATCTCTACCTGTCTACGTGGGATCTATGAATTCGAGGCAACCATTTGTACTACACAGCTAGGGGTATTCACAAGAACAATCAATCAATAGTTATAGTTATCACATAGCAGGACCCCACTAGAAGTCGACGCGTGTTCCTACCAGAATAAGTAGCAGAAAAATAACACTAAAGAAGAAATGTTCAGGGTACAACGATAGTAAAGAACTCTTTCTACATGTCCTGAATATTCAGAGCGGAGCGGCCTGGTGATGGCAGGATAAAGAGCAGCGTATCGAGGCGCATGGCTACAATCGCGCCTTTTAACATCAACACAAGCTATACGAATGTCATGAACGTTGCTAAAAGCACAGATGATGCATACAGCGAAGCGAATCGACTGCAAAACACAGCACTGGGAAGCCATATGAGGTGAACGCAGAAAGATATATACAGTACTCGTCCTAAGGATGGGACCTTATACACGCCCTTAGACCAGGGCACGTTGAACGCTGGAAAGCCGCAGAAGGGGACCGCATTTGGTCGTTCGAGAAAAGGGGTTCCTTTTTCTGATAGTTCATTTCATAGTTGTCTGGTTAAACCTCCACACCCTTCCACTTCGCTCAACGGCCAAATTTTGAGGGAAACTGGTAAACTAGGGAAGTTCCGAGAAGTGATAGGCAGTCGGGTAAAACTCAGGTACATGGCAAGTAGAGCGAGTGCTCTCTTGCTACAAGGGTTCAAGGGCGTTTTCTTATCGCATCTTCTGGTCATGTATTCAGAGGAAGGAAAATATATAAGAGGGATGAGAGAAGGAAGGAATAAAAAAGGGAGGGAGGGAGGAAATGAAGGAGGAAGCTTCGCGGTTGAACAGATATCCTGAGACAGGAGGCACGGGAAAGGGGGAGGGGTCGTACTAGCGGAGGAAATTGGGCATGGAGATAGTATTGTGCAATTTTCCCCAGCGACGGTAGCGCCTTGCCTCGGACACCAACGGTCGTAACGTGAGGTGTGGATCAAAATAATCCAAGGAGCGGCATCGCGCGCCCACCGGTATTCCCTAACTAGTCGATTCTACTTAGCAGCACTATGGCGTAAAGTAAGTTGCCTTATGGAAGCTTACGTCCATTACCGCTTATTCGACGACCCTAGAGACAGATGAGTTGCTTTTCTCTATTTCAAGTTTCGAGTATCATTACCATGTCATTCCACTGTCAAGCCCGTTGAAAAATGATGGTGAAGTAGATGATGATCCGGGGTATGCGACAGGACAATCAAAATACGCCGCACTGGTGGGCGTGGTGAGCGAAGACGCGTCCAGCGGACGAGCTGTCCCTCCTGGCCGCTTGAACGCTGAGGGGGCGCGAAACTCCATTCCCCCCTCCCCCATTGTCTCTTGAATTCCTATGTATCTCGCAGCTAACATGCAGCATTGAAAATATTAGACAAGGCAATTGGGGTCCTCGAGACTTGGAACCAAAAGCAGCCGTTATCGATTTATATTGTTACCGTCGTGGAATACGCGGGGACTAGGCTGCCATGATCTAATGAATTTGGCGCCAAATTGCTTCATCGAGTCAACCAGCTAGGAACAAGATACTACGCCTCTAAACGACATCCAGCACTTCTCGGTTCCAATTCCACTCGACGACCATAACGCTACACGCTTCCCATCGTTAGGACAAATACCGCAAGTGTTGATAGTACTCACTTAAACACTAGAATTATGAAAAATGACTACAAAAAACATCTAGACGACTAGCATAAATTAGAGAAGGTGGTTGTCAAAAAGGAAACACTTAAATACACAAATTCTATCAAAGGGTACAAATGCGAATCAGTGCCGGCTGACGATAAATATGAACCGTAATCGACTGGATGATATTTAAACGAAATGGACCCAAACTATTGATGAAGCTACTTCTCAAAAATATATATGGCTATGATTTTGCACACGAAAGAAAATGATATACCTGACATAAGAAGCCAGCGATCCTTCTAATTACATTGCTAGTGAGAAACTAGCGAATGGATACATCCTTGTCGTCGGAAACAATTACAATATATTACAGCTGAATGGCTTTACTCAGTGAATTTCTTAGGAGACACCACCGGTACGTTTTGCTATCGGAGGTGGAGCTCGATTTTTTTCTCTGTCGTATTCTCCTCGTAACCAGCTGATGGCAGTTAGCATATAGGCAGACATTTTCTCGAGAGGTGCATCCAAAAACAAGTGACCACACACCTTTTCCAATCTGAAAAATTGAAAAATAAGAAAAACATACAAAAAAAGAAAATGGAAAGTTTACTACAGGAGAAAATTGAGCGCTTAGTAGTTTGCTCGTTTGAAAGCAGTGGATACGCTGCTGGAGGTGGGCGTTTGTTGCCGCGTCATTGGTGGAGGGGCAGCGCGAGGGCTTTTAGCCACACCTCAGGGAGTACTTCCACCTAATGACGTTAGCAAGAACCAGCCGCCCGCAGACATCAATGCCACTGCCCTCAAATTTCAGTCTTATTCAATTACAACCTCCGCCAATCGATAAGAGTTAAAACTAAACAAAATTGAACACCAAAAAAAAAACGAAGCCTCGCGAATGTTTCCAAGAAAAGAAAGAACTCAAAATCTACCAAAGCGAAAATTCAATTCAAAAATATGAAAACAACGTACCCAGAGATAAACGCTGTATCCAAACTGCTGACCTCGGCACGTTTAGCAGCGTCATGCCAGACTCGATGAGCCCACATCAGATGATGGAGCGTTTTCAGCTGTTGCTTCTGTAGGTCGTAGACTCTGCTAGGCATTGTTACCTAATCCAAAAGCTCAGTATAACAATTACTATACATAATAAGCTGAAAGTTCAGGAAAAAGGTGGATGTATCAAAAATGTGTGTTCATTGAGCAGTGCGCTGGAGTGCCGAGCGCACCGAAACCAGCAAGTCCCCTAGACTACACCCGGCTAGTTACAGGTGGAGAGCACAAAGCCATGCAAATAGCAAATCGTCTGAGGCGGCGAAAATTGCGGACAACTTACGTAGGTCACCGACTGATTCGAATTGGAGTGAACACTACTGCCAGGCGAAGAAGATGTGGTGGCTGATGCGCCATTCTGTGACTGATGTCTCTCTTCCTGGATCTGTGAATCCATGTTCATGAGCATTCCGTAAGACTTTATAGCGTTCTGAAAGCAAATAATTAATCAGGCGTAACGTGAACTTAGGACAAAAACTCCTCACTTGAGATCTGAAGTTGTACATGTGATACAGTAAACAGGCTTGACAGCGTGAACTGAGATTACGTATTCGAGATAACATATGCATATGCCAAGGAGAACATCCTTCTGATACTGCACAAAAGGCTTGAGTTACCCTTCTGAAACAAAAAAAAAATCAAGACTTGAACAGCATGAAAAAAGCTTCAAAAAACTAAGCGTTCCGTAGGGTCTTCATCAAGACTGCACTGACCCTTCGAAAGCCCGGTCTCTGTTCATGGCTTTGACAGTTACCCTTCACCCCAATTGCAACTACCTGCGAAACATTGCAGCTCTCAAAACAAAGGAACGGTTCATATCTCAAAAAACCGCTAGATAAAGGATAGGAGGGGAGTACAATAAGTTAGTGAGGCCTGAATTTAAAAAAAAACAACAGTACTAAAGCTAAGAATGGAAACATACTTGATCAGATCATTCGTGTCGCGTACGATTGAGTACTGTTTGTTACAGCGAACCTCTGGCGATTCTTGTGATGTGAAATGTTTTGCCGATAAAATAAAATATACAGTTGCATCGAGGTAGAATATCATTTTAGCGACCTTGTCGCTCTAAAAGTAATGACATGTACTCATAAACGCTCTCTTTCGTAAACCAACTTCCAAAAGAGGTTGAATAAACTATTCTATTGGAAAAGCTAACCTCAGCGTCACCTTTGCGCTTTCGTGATTTTCCTATCGATTGATAGAAATCGTACAATTTTTCAGTGCTGCCCTCTTCCGGCTTCACTGGTCGCGAGGGTTTCGCTGGCATACATTCCGGCGCAGCACACTCGAAACTGCTTCGCGACGGGTTGCTACCGACAACTGACGACGGGCGATGAACTTGAGGATGGTCACCAGAGTCATGAGATTGAGAGCTGGATGCGCGCGGCATGCACTGAAAAGATACACGCACTTGAATTGACCGAGAATGGTTTTAACAACAAGTGTGATGGCTTACGGGACTGCTTTTAGCGCTGGACTCCTTTTCTCGCCGTAGCGCATCCAATTCATCAACAGTCGGTTTATCCTTTGTCTTTCTTTCCTTTTCTTTTTTGTCCTTACGCTTTTCCGAGTTGTTATCACTCCTCTCCTTCCGATCCTCCTTCCTATCTTCTTTTCGGTCTTCCTGTCAATGGAATTCACCTTCAGAGAGAAAATGCGATATCACAGAATGTTAGTATCTCACCTTCATCCGACCTGTTCTCTTGCCGATCTCGATCAGGTGATTCAATCTAGAGCGATCAAGACCCTTGAGAATGATCTCTCCTCGCAAGCCATCTGCACGCAACGCCTGAAAAATGAGTATGAATACTGCATTCAGATATAATTTTAAAATCATGGGGTATTAGAAGAAGCAAGCAAAAAAGGTGCGAACGCACTCTCAAGAAGAAGAAAACAATTTTGATACATGAAAAGCAGCAAAAATTCGCTTCCAAGAAGTGCAATGATGGGAATAATTCTATTGCCAAGGT